CTGGCTGGACATCGTCAGAGGCGCTGGCCTCTGACACGGACAATGCAGGCGAGGACTGGGCCTGGTCACCTGGCAGCTGCAACGTACTGACCGTGTCCAGGGTCACAGGCGCCAGCATCACAGGATGGGTGCCACGGACCTCGTCATCGCCCAGTGGAGGGCCAAGGATCGGCCCAGCTGGTCCCTGGAGCGCCTCGATGGCGCTCCTGTTGCCACGGATCGAGTACAGGAAGCCCGTCACAGCACAGGAGAGCGAGTACAGGCTGCTGTTCGTGTTACTCAGCTCTGTGACACAGGCCTCGACAGCGTCCCTGTCATCGTCCTCCAGGTCCTTGATCGCCACCAAGAGACATGCTATGGCGGCCTTGGACTTGTCCCGCAGCTGTCGGCATGTGTTTGCTGCCTCCTGTACTAGGCCCATGGCATAGGACCCTGCCTCACCAGCAGGGGGAAGGCGATGACCACGACCTTGGGACTGTGCTGTGCCTTGGTCCCTGGCAGATGCAGAGGTTCCAGCGACTGGGGCGTTGACGTTGCGTGATGCCCTGGCTTTGTCAGTAGAAGGCACGGCAACTACGTTGCCAAGGCTTAATCTATGGCAGCTCAAGGATGCTAGTACACGCGTAAGAGTAGGCGGGTCAACGATCGTTGCACGCATCGAAGCTGCGAGTGGTCTCAGCCCATCGACGTTGCCCATGAGTCTGAGTGCACTGTGCAGTACGTCAGGCATGGGGCTCGTGCTTAGAGGACGGGGTCCAATTGTCCTCACTGGACACGCAGACGCTTCTTGGGCCGACGACCAGGCGACTCAGCGTTCGTCACAGGGTTACACCTTCAGTCTTGGCTCTGGTACTGTCTCGTGGAGGTCCACTTGTTCTTCTTCTGTGCTTGGTTCTTGCTGTGAGGCCGAGATCTACGCTGGGGCCATGGCTACACAGGAGCTACGCTGGCTGACCTACCTACTGACCGACTTGGGGGAGCGGCCTCGTTCTCCTCCAGTTTTGTACGTCGACAACAAGGCAATGCTTGCTTTGTATCGCGAGCACAGAACGAAGCACATTGCTCTTCGCTACTTCCTTGCATGTGAGCTGCAGCAGTGTCGTCAGCTCCGCCTTTCCTACATGGCCTTGCGGGCCAACACTGCTTATGTGTTCACCAAGGCCCTTGGGTCTGGTGATCATCAGCGTTTCTGCGCTGCTCTTGGGCTTGTGCCCACTCTGCCTCACCTGCTGGTTGCTTGACTTGCTCTTGTTGTACACTGATATATATATATATATATATCTTTATACCTGCTTGTTTACTCTTGCTAGGTTGTGATAAGTGTACAGCCTTGCTATTATAACTCAGCATGTGAACTGGCCTTGTTGCCGCTTGCTTGTGCTCGGATTGTGTGGTGTCCTTGAGATCCACCCTGAGCTTTGCTTTGCTTGTTCTCTTGCTTGACTGGTCTTGTGACCGTCTGTTGTGTTTTTTCTCTCCCACTTAGCCTATGGGGGTGTGTCAAACTGTATGTTTGTGTTCTCTCTATGCTATAGTGGGTTAGCCTACAAGGGGTACAACACTTGAGGGTTAGTAATTGTACCCAACTCATTCATAGTTCATTCATTCCTGCACAGTTGATTATGACTGGCGAGTCACTATCAAGTGGACTTACTAAGAATGAAGTCATAGATTCAATCCTCACTGAAGGGTTGTTCTAATGATCAACTAAGTTACCTGTGACCTTAAGGAACAGTCAGACCTCGTTGGCTGCAACTTCTGGCGAATTTTTGGCCATATTCCATGAATCTAGGCAATTTCGCCAACAGAGATTGCCTCGATACAATGGGATTCGAATCAGGGCCCCCTAGTAAAAGTTGGCTGAAAATTCAGCCTCAGTACCGTATCACCCCAGATAAAAGCGCAGGCCTATTAAAAGCGCATGCGCTTCTATCTGGAGCAATGCGATTATGCCCGATCCTCAATTATAAGCGCACCCCCTTAAAAAACATGATTTATTATAAGCGGGCTAGGTACGGGGCCGGGCGCTGGGCAGATACGGGGCCGGGCGCTGGGCTCTGAATTGGGGCCGAGGGGCCTAGGGGGCCGAGGGGCCAAACACAAGGGGCCGAGGAGGCCGAGCCTAGGGGCCGAGGCTAGGGGCCAAGGGGCCAAACAAGGGGCCGGGCGCGGGGGCCGAGGGGCCAACACGAGGGGCCGAGGGGCCGAACAAGGTACGGGGCCGAGGGGCCAAACAAGGTACGGGGCCGGGCGCTGGGCAGTTACTGGGCCGAGCCTAGTAGCCGAGGCTAGGGGCCGAGGGGCCGAGGGGTGGGGCCGAGGGGCCAAACAAGGGGCCGGGCGCTGGGCAGGTACGGAGCCGAGGGGCTTAGGGGGCCGAGGAGGCCGAGCCTAGGGGCCGAGGGGTCAAACAAGGGGCCGAGGGGCTTAGGGGGGCCGAGGGGCCAAACACACGGGGCCGAGGGGCGGGGCCGGGGGGCCAAACAAGGGGCCGGGGGGCCTAGGGGCCGAGGGGCCAAACACACGGGGCCGAGGGGCGGGGCCGAGGGGCCAAACACGGGGCCGGGCGCAGGGCTAGGTACAAGGCCAGGCGCGGGCTAGGTACGGGACCGGGCGCTGGGCAGGTACGGGGCCGGGCGCTGGGCTCTGTATTAGGGCCGAGGGGCCAAACAAGGGGCCGGGGGGCCGAGGGGCCAAACAAGGGGCCGGGGGGCCTAGGGGCCGAGGGGCCAATCAAGGGGCCGGGGGGCCTAGGGGAGCCGAGGGGCCAAACACGGGGCCGGGCGCAGGGCTAGGTACGGGGCCGGGCGCGGGCTAGGTACGGGACCGGGCGCTGGGCAGGTACGGGGCTGGGCGCTGGGCTCTGTAGTGGGGCCGAGGGGCCAAACAAGGGGCCGGGGGGCCGAGGGGCCGAGGGGCCAAACAAGGGGCCGGGGGGCCTAGGGGCCGAGGGGCCAAACAAGGGGCCGGGGGGGCCTAGGGGGGCCGAGGGGCCAAACACATGGGGCCGAGGGGCGGGGCCGAGGGGCCAGACAAGGGGCCATGCGCAGGGCTCTGAGTTGGGGCCGAGGGGCCTAGGGGCCGAGGGGCCAAACAAGGGGCCGGGGGGCCTAGGGGGGCCAAGGGGCCAAACACACGGGGCCGAGGGGCCAAACAAGGGGCCGGGCGCAGGGCTAGGTACAGGGCCGGGCGCGGGTTAGGAACGGGGCCGGGCGCTGGGCAGGTACGGGGCCGGGCACTGGGCCTGAATGTGGGCCGAGGGGGCCTATGTACGGGGCCGGGCGCTGGGCGAGGGACTGGGCTGGGCGCGGGCGTTAGGTACGGGGCCGGGTGCTGGGCTAGGAATGGGGCCTAGTGCGGGCTAGATACGGGGCCGGGCGCGGGTGTCGACGGGGTGCTGGCTAGGTACGGGGCTGGGCACGGGTGTCGACAGGGCGCGGGCATAGGTACGGGCCGGTCGCGGGCGTCGACGGGGCGCGGGCTTGGAACGGGGCCTAGCGCGGGCTAGGTACGGGGCCGGGCGCGGGTGTCGACAGGGCGCGGGCTAGGCAAGGGGCCGGGTCGCGGGCTAGGGCTGGTCGCGGGCGTCGACGGGGTGCGGGCTAGGTACGGGGCCGGGCGCGGGTGTCGACGGGGCGATCGGGAGCTAGGTACGGGGCCGGGTCGTGGGCTAGGTACGGGCCGGTCGCGGGCGTCGACAGGGCGCGGGCTAGGGACGGGGCCAGGCGCGGGTGTCGACGGGGCGATCGCGGGCTAGGTACGGGCCGGGCACGGGCGTGAGAAAGGGCCGAGCGCGGGCGTGGGCTAGGTAAGGGCCTATCGCGGGCGCGGTACGGGCGGGGCGCGGGGCTAGGAAAGAAGTAGCAGGTGGTGGGCCCAATAGTAACCTGCTCTGATACCATGTTAGATAGTAGCGAGAATGACGAGAATGTTTTACTAGGAAGCAAGGAAGGGTACAAGTACAATGTCGAGAGAGATTGTGTACCCCCTAAGGCTAAACCCACTATAGCCTAGATAACTGTAAACACATAAACACATATGTTTGACACATGTTAGTTTGAAAATTGAAAAACTGTCAAATTACTGTAACGAAGTTCACTTTAGGAGGTGATGAGCTGAAAATCATTCGCATTCAAACCCTGCACAGGCCGCGCGTCCAGACAGCAAGTGCTGTTAGAAGCTCCTACTGACTCATTTTGAGAGTATGTGCTGGCAGGGAATCTTTCCCTGGCAAGTAGTGAGAGTTTTTCACCCACAACCCTATTTCAAATCGACTCGATTGGGTGCGCAATTACGCGAACTACATTTTCGTGCTATTATTTTAAAATTGTATATTTGTTTTTTTATAAGCGCATGCGCTTATATTTTTTACTCAATTATAAGCGCACCTCCCTGAAAAATCATGTTTTATTATAAGTGCAGGTGCGCTTATATCCGGGGTGATACGGTACAAGAAAACTAGCTGAAAATTCAGAGTCGGGATAAAATTTTAAACTTCTCAATCAGCCTTGGGACAAAAATAAACTCTGAAAGTCAGGGTTCAAACCCAAAAACAGGGTAAAAATCCTGACTTCTGAGGGCCTGTCCCACAACCTTTCTTGACCATCTACAACCCCCAAACAGGCACAGCGGAAACGAATATACGGATTCGAGTTCACACACGCACTGTAGAGATTCGCCCTCGCGGTTTGTAACGAGAACGAACCCCCACTTCCCGTTCCAAGGTAAATCCAGCTCAAGGGCCTAGTGTGAGGCAATGTGGACCGCCAGATGGAATTTGTGTGAACCGCTCTTTTTCTCCCTGACGCGCCTTGATTCTGTTCTCGACGCCATTAGACGCCCCGCGATAATCAGCACGCTCGTATCGCCGCCATTCGAGCCCATCCGCGCCCGTTCCTCCCCGTGACGTGACGCTTGCAGCCCACCTGCCCACTTACAACACCTGTCCACGTGCCCACTCCGCCCTCTCGTCCTCTCCGCCCTTCCCCGCTGCACCCACCATGTCCGCGGCCGGCGCAGCGGAGCATCCGCCATGCGTGCTGCTGCGCAACTGCACCATCGTGCAGGCGGGCGGCGCGGGGATCGTTGCTGACGTGGATGTGCACGCGGCGCAGCACGTGCTGGTTCAGGGCAAGCGAATCGTGTTCGTCGGCGACGCCCATGACGCGCTGCCATCCGACCTGCTCGCGTCGTTGACGGCGTCGCGACCGCCCGTGGTGAGCCCCCCTCCCTGCCGCGCCCCCTCCCTGCACGCGCATGCTACCGTTACAGCCCCAGTAGGAGTGCCTCACCTGCACGGTGCTTCCCCCGTGCACCCTTCCCCTCCCTCCCTTCCGCCCCTCCCCATGCGCCCTTCCCTCTGGCCCTCCTCTAGCGGCTTTCCTGACCGCCGTGTGCCGCGCCTCCTCAGCCGCCCCGCCCCCGCCGCTTCTGCCGCACCTCCCTCCCTGTCGCGCCTGCGCCGCACGCGTGCCTGCCAGCGCTGCAGCCCCAGCGGCTGCGCCTCACATGCCCTCTCGCTTCTTCCCCCCATGCACGCCTCTCCTCCTTCCGCTCTTTCCACCCATGGCAGGAGATCAACCTGGCGGGGCGCTACCTCCTCCTTGGGCTGTGCGACGCGCACGTGCACGTCACAGCAGCAGCTTCCGCAGATCCACCCCTCCCCTCCTTCCCCCAAGCGCCTGTGCCTCCCCCCTCCTTGCCAGGAAATCGACCTAGCAGGCCGCTTTCTCCTCCCCGGCCTGTGCGATGCGCACGTGCATGTCACAGCGGCGGCCTCCGCGGATCTGCACGCGCTGGCGGCGCTGCCCGTGTCGCTGGTGGCGTGCCGTGCCGCCAGGGGGCTGCAGGCCATGCTGATGCGAGGGTTCACCACTGTGCGCGATGCTGGGGGATGCGACCAGGGCCTTGCTCGGGTGGAAACAACAGAGACTCGGTGCATTTTCTCTCCCTCTCTTCCTCTCCCTCGCGGGTGGTTCGGGAGGAGCTTCGGCGGGGAGCGCGGCAGATCAAGGTGATGGCGTCAGGCGACGTATCGTCACCGTCGGATCGTGTGGAGAGCGTGCAATTCTCAGAAGGGGAGATGCGGGCGGCAGTGGAGGAGGCGGAGGCGCAGGGGACTCACGTGATGGCGCATGCTTACACGGCTCGCGCCATTAAAAGGGCGGTGGCGTGTGGTGTTCGGAGCATTGAGCATGGCAACGTGAGTGACAGCCAGCGGTTGTAGTGGGGGATGTCATGATGGTTAAGACTCACAGGTGCTTGTGTTCTCGTTCGAATCCCTTTCTCTCCGGCTCTCTCATTCCCATGAACCCCATGCCATATCTGTCACCCACACACCCATGAACCCCATGCCATATCTGTCACCCGCACATCACCCCCCCTCACACCCCTCATGCCCTCGCTTTCACGGCAGATGCTGGACGAGGAAGCAGCCAACCTCATGCTGCAGAAAGGAAGCTTCCTAGTGCCCACGCTAGTGACGTACGAGAGGATCAAGCAGGCAGGGCAGCAGAGCGGCATGGACGCCAACATCGTTGCCAAGGTGCGCTGTTAGTATCAATGCCACTCAACAGTCACCAAGGTCACTGCACGTGGTGCATGAGGCACTGTCAGTGGAGGTCTTTGAACAGAATGCAGATCTACACACTGCTCTTCTCCTGCATGCTCATTTCTCGTGCCTCCCACCTCACCACCAAGGACGTTGCTAGTAAAAAACTCAGTCTGAAAAACAAACGGGATTTTTTTCCTTCGTCTGAGCGTCAGACGAAAATTAATGGCTAGTCTGGAAATTCAGACGAAATATTATACCAAGTCTGTAAAATCAGATGAAAACGAAACATATGTCTAAGGATGAACAAACATGTAAATCTTCAGTTCCCAAAATCGCATGCCTTTGTATTGGAATATTTGCTTGAGAGCGGAGGAAGGCTGTGAGAGTGGAGAGAATCTCCCCCTCTGCAGCAAATGTGCCTGTGTGTCGGTCAGAGAATATGTCGATGTGTCATAGAACCATTAAATGCGTCAGAGTGGACCTTTTGACGCGTCAGAGTTAACAATTTGGCGCGTCAGAGTTGACAATTTGACGCGTCAGAGTTGACATTTTAACGCGTCAGATAACATTTTGGCGCGTTAGTGAATGCACCCCTCCGCAAATTTACACGTGGCCTAGTGGGGGATATCGTTGGTCTCAGACGAAATCATCCGCATTGTCAGTTAATTTAGACAAACTGTACAAGCTCATCCGAAAATTCAGATGGATAAATTTAGCACATCTAGTGATTCAGATGAAAAATAATTAACTGTCAGCAAATTCAGATGAATACTAAAAAACGAGTATGATTTTCAGACCATCAGACGAATTTCGTTAGATATCGACGTCCCTGCTCACCACCTCTCGCCTCCTTCGTTCCACTGAATCGTCTGTCTGAAGCAGGTGCAGGACCTGCTAGAGAGGGGTCTTGAAGCTGTGGCACTGGCAGAAAGAAAGGGAGTGCCCATGGTCTTTGGCTCGGACCTGCTGGGTCCCGTGCAGTCCCACCAGCTGCAGGAGTTTGCCATTCGCAGCAAAGTGCAATCACCAGCATCTGTTCTTTGGTCCGCCAGAACTGCTGCCGCAAGACTCTTTGGAATGGAAGGAGAGATTGGGTCTGTGCAGGGCCTATGTTGGGTTTTTGGCTACTCACGATTAGCAGTGTAGCCTTTTTCAAAACCCTTCTGATCAGTGTGTAAATTTTCGTTACACTGATACATCAGTGTAACATTGAGTTTCAGAAATTTTACCGAAAGCATCAGTGTAGTATTTTTGTGTACCCTTATCGCAAATACATATTACTAATCGTTTTAGAAATCGGGAAACAACATTTTATTTATATAGCCATTCAGTCACATGTATGTACGCTCATCCTGGCTACCATCAGACGACTCCACTCTTTCCTTTCCTTTTCCAGAGCACGACTTGTGTGGGGCAGGTGTTTTTGCGGGTCTTCTCTTTTTTTGCTTCCGCCAGATATCCACCACCTCGGGCCACTTGTACTCGTAGTTCAACATGTTCAGGGTCATCAGTTCGGATAGCCGGGCGTCGCCAAGCGACGTCCGCAACCAGCTTTTGATCACGTTTTGGCGGCTGAATCCGCGCTCGCACTCCACAGTACTTAGCGGAATCACTGCCAGCGCCTGCCACATGGACGTCAGGTTGGGAAAACTGCGCGGCCAATCCTTGGTCCTCAGCATTTTGGCAAGTCCTTGGTAGAAGTCATCGTCCTGGTAGTGGCGAGACATGACATGGCAGAAGTTGGCCAGCTCGAGCTCTGCCGTTCGGTGGTTGAAGCCTGCCATGTGTGATGAAGGGACAACATTTTGTGAGTAGAAACAGACGAAACAAAACAGAACAAAACACGCTCATACGAGACAACATCCACATGTGGATAATTACCTGGCAGCCGGTTGTTGAAGCGCCGCGCGTTGGCATCCAGCCAACTCAGCACCCGACGCTCCTGTTTGTCTGTCGCTTACGACCACGTTTCAACTTTGTAAAGCTTGCTGCCCTCCATTTTCTTCAAGCTCCACATGCGAGTGTGCATGTTTGTCGCCACCTCCAGCGTGAACGCTTTGTACAACTTGATGCACCCGGCCATCGAGCCGCCGTATTGGTGTCCTGGTATTGGCGTCTCGCTCAGCACGATCTGATGTCAAGATGGCTCACCATCCGAATCCACGCCGTCCACACGGATCGTTCGCCTGCCGCTGCCAAGGCGTGCGATGAATAGCGACAGCAGCTTGGTGACCCCCCCTCCGAAAATGTCCATGTATTCCACGTATCGAAGTCTGATGACTCCAATCGTGTGATCAACCTCTTGGTGCACGAGCGTGATGTCAACCTGAACCACGGACGTGTCAAAATGTTATGGTGCTTGCATTTGTGTAGGCTACAGTGGGGTAGCTCATGTTGGTGCAACCCTACGGTTTGCATTCAGCTTGTTGTCCGTGTGCGTGCATGCGTGTGTGCATGGAATGGTATGAGAGCATGAGATAATTATATATTTCATGCTTACAATAGTGTGTGAATGATGAGGCATGATTTTTGAATGTGTGTGTTGAGTCAATAGCGAGTTATCGCTAGTCACGTGTCACGTCGTCGTTTGCGTGTCGTGTGCGGTTTTCTATTTTGTCGTGTGTGGAACGTTCGGCGTGTCGCAGGTGTGCGCAGCAGACTTCCAAGAACTCAAGGAAGAATTTATCTTGAAGAACCAGAGCCTTGGTTTCAAGATTCAAGTGATTTCGAAGCTCTCCAAAAGGGTAAACTTCAAGATAGTGAGACTAGTTACATTACTTTGTGTAGTGTAATATTTCTCTTGTGGAGGGTAGTTTCGAGACCCTTCGTGGTTGGGGACAGTGTGGCACTGTTCCACATCACTGTACCTCGGCTCTTCGGGTTTGTAGGAGCTGGGAGTCATTCCCAACTCGTAACTCTTCCTAATTTGTGCTCTAAGACTATAGTGGCTGCCAATAGTGCCATTCGTTCAAACCAAAGTTGCGTTATCAATACTAAATGAAATCGTGCAATCTTAATAGCCTAGTGTAGGCGACATCAAGACGCTTCAGATCCAATTCGAATCAAGTCATTTGCAGCAGTGACCAGAACGCTATCAACGTTTGAAGCCGCTGTGCAGAAATCCGACTGTGCACTCTATCTTTCGTTTTAGGCACATTCAAGCCTATTGTGACTATAACAAGTGGTATCAGAGCTCCTTGGAGCAGTTTCGACAATGGCTGGACCTGAGGAAAGGGGTGGCAGAGGTGCTGGTGGTAGTGGAGAAGCCCAAGGTCAAGGCCAACCCGTGGCCGTGCAACCAAGTCTTGGCCCACCTAGGGATGAGCCTAGGGTGTTTGGGCTTGACAAGTTCAATGGCGACAACTTTGCTGAATGGTCCTTCAGAATGGAGAATGTATTTGACCACTATGACCTGCTGGAGGTGATGGAAGGAACGGAGAAGCGCCCCGAGAACGACCCGGAGAAGAGCCCGTGGGTGCGGAAGAGCGCACAATGCTATCTCCTACTTGGGCAAGCGTTGGGGAGCAGCCAAATCCGTGACATCAAGCCATTCCAGCGTGAACCAGCGAATGGACCAAACGCATGGGCTGCTCTCAAGGGTGTACACGCTCCTGCAACAACGGCGGTAGCGGTGGTGTTGGAACGGCAAATTGCGGCACTACGAATTGAAGAAGACGAAGCGGTTGAAGAAGGGGTGCAGAAATTCTTCGACTTGTTGACGCGGCTTGAGGGAGCTGATTTGAACTACAGTGAGCTCCAAAAGAAGACATTGTTGCTGGCCTTACTCCCAGAGTGATGGTCCTCGCTCATCATCAACCTCAATCGTGAAGACATGAAACGAGCGATATAAGAGGACTTCCGCAGCCGTAAGTTGGCGAGTGCGGATGGCGCCGGGGCAGCAAGCATCGGCCGAGGGTATGGCCGTGGAAGGGGCAGAGGACGAGGGGGAGACAGATTTGGCAGCAACAACTTCAATGGAGGCCGCGGGAGTGGCGGATACGGCAGCAACAAGAAGAGCTACGGACGCGGTCGCGGCCGATTCGACGGTGAGTGCCACTATTGTCACAAGAGCGGACATATGTGGCGTCATTGCTTCAAGCTCCCTGATGGATGGACCCCTGCTCAAGCCCAAGAGGGTAGAGGAGCAGGAGGAGGGAGAGGAAGAGGCCGTGGAGGCCGTGGTAGTCGCGGAGGTGGTGCTGCAAATATGAAGAATGGTGACAACGAGAGCGATTCGAGGGACGATCGCTTTCCGGGTCAATTCTTCTTCGTGACGACGCAAGCACCGGCTGCACCAGAGAAGGATGAAAGCTTTGAGGAGCTTGCTGCTGTGGGGAAGGTGACCCTACACTCCCTGGACTATTAGGTGATCGATAGCGGCACTACCTATAGCATGACACCTCGTGCGGACTTGCTCACCGAACTTGAACTGTCACCGGTGAAGCATGTCACATCGGCTTTGGGGCAGCGAGCAGAGGTGAAAGGCGTGGGCAAGGCCATGTTCAAAGGTGCTGATGGGAAGATGGTGGGCCTCAAGAACGTGCTTTGGGTGCCCAACCTTGCTGCCAACCTCATTTCCGTGCGGCGGTTGCAAAAGGCCGGCATGGACACGAGCTCGAAGGGAGCTAAAACCTATTCCGCGAGGCTTGGTGAGCGGATTCTTTGAGACCTTCACGAGGATAGGGATGTCTACAACGATATGTGGCAGATCCCTATGGTCCCCATGCCTAGGGAGAGGCAAGTGGCAGCAAGCATCAGCACCAAGGGTGAAGCGGTTGGTAGCGGCGATGGCGCGAACGGTCGCGCTAAGGAGATTGAGTCCTAGAAGTTCAATCTTGGAGGGACCAGCAAGCTCGGTGAACACGAGGAGAGTGGTGCAGCAGCTCAGAAGCAGCACAAGGGTGAGGAGAGCCCCAAGGTAGCAGCGGAGGAGGACTACGGAGAGAGCATGTGGGGCACTATTGCGAGTGCGGCATTCTCCAATCCGACTTCGGCTACCGGGG